GGAAACCCAGGCATGGCAGTTTTCTGTGAATGGAGTGAGTGAGAAATGGGATCGTCTTACAGAAGATGGGAGGAGTGGAGGAACTGGTGAGCTAGATGGCCACAGACTCATTTTCCTTTGTGGTGGGATTTGTCTTACAGCATGAGTAATAGCGCCTTACACCTGCTGAACCAGCTGCTCATAGCTGCAGTCTCCTTTGACCTTCCCATCACCTCTTGGAGAAAGGGAAGGCATTTCTCTGCCTTGCACTTTACTGGAAACAAAGAACGACTCCATGTGACACGGAGGCTGGTTGGGGTGTAACCTGAGGACGGAGGGCAGAAGTGAGACTCGGGCTCAGGCCTTCTGGCGCTCAGTTCAGTTACTGCCCTTTGTGTGTAGCAGCTTCTCATCCCGCGCCAGGGCAGCACAGGTGCTTCTGGAGGGAAAAGGATGCACTGGGACTAGGATCCCTTGTAGGTGGATCATAAACTCAGGACCCTGATTTGACAAAGAACAGGCTGTTAGGAAAACTTGCCTCGCCTTACGGCCTGCCAGCGCTGAGGGCAAAGAGGGGCGGGCGGCTTTGGGTGGTGAGAGCTCCTTACATGTTCACAGCTCTGAACTCCTGGCTCTCGAAGAAACTCCTTGTAGTGTGAAACCGAAGTTGGGAGCTGCTGGATTTGACCAGTGTTAAGAACAGAACCCGACTCACGGGCTGTTTTCTTGGACTCCGTTGGAGTCAAAGATCTGGATCTGATGGTAAAGTTCTCTGAGAGATGCCCCCTCAAGTTCTGGGCTGAGGTTCATAGCAGGCACTGTACACATCCTGCCCTTACACTGTCACACGCACATGTTGGTTCCTGCAGGGCTGTTGGCTTTATAGAACTCAGCTGCCTGTGGCACTGGCCTGCTCATTAAGACAAATCAGAGAGCCCACAACCCAGCAAGAAGCCTAATTAGAACAGATGCTCTTGACTTTCCTCTTCAAAGCAGATGTAGTTTTTGAAAATTGCCTGTGAACTGCATAGTCATGTGAGCACATCAAATCCCACTTTACTAATAAAATTGTCTTTATTAAAAATTGAAACTTAGAGGAGAATTGGAGAGATTTTCTTTCAGGAAAATATTTGCTCCAAGACATAAGATCACTTTTAAAGAATGAAACAAATCCTCCAAAACTGGACTCTTGATAATAATAGTCACGATGCTCTCACATCCCTATCCCTGTTTGGTCTTTCAACTCAGTACTGAGGTAGGAAGGAGAACGTTTGTGTGATATGTGGCGTGTACCTTGCCTAAAATCCCAAAAGATGGTAATGGTAGAGCTATCTCTAGAAAGCAAGCTGTTCCGAGAGCAGGAGGCTCCGAGGGATTCCCTGGGTCCTAGGCCTTGAGAGCTGGCCTGTGACTGCTGTAGGTCTCATCCAGTTTGTCAGATGGGCGTCAGCAGGGTCCCTCATGAACTTCTCAAGGTGAATGCTGGGTGGTGAGGAGGAGCTGCCATGATGGAACTGTGGACTTCAAACTTCATTCAGTCAAGTGGCTTCTGCTGTATCTGGACACCTCTATCTCATTCCCACAGAGAAATATTCATGTTTGCAGCTCAGCCGAGAACCCAGGTCTCACTTTGCTTCCCCTGGGGAAAAGCGAATGAACAGGAAGCACTGATAGCCATTTTAATTTGATAGTCTCAGAAAATTATGCTGAGTTGGTTATATTGATGTATTTATTGAGTATTAAGCTCCTAATATATGCTAGGCTTTGCACAAGGCACATGCAAAATTGCCATCAGCTGGTGTCAAAAACAGGAAGCTGTCCAAATGGCACCATAAAACAAAAATGAAAACCAACCTAAAAACCAAGTGTCAAACACCTACAACCTGCTTCTAAATATTTCCTCTTGCTCCTTGAAATGTTGCCATCAAGTCTGCATTTGTAATTCAATTTAAATCAGGCTTGTATGGTATAGATGATTTATGAGGAAGGCACAGTATGCCTGGTACAATTTGCTTGGCCATGAACCATTTCCTGAGGATTTGGAACCTGCCTAGCGTCCTTCCACCTGGACCAGAAAAATAATCCTTGGTATTTGGTTACAAGCAAAGTGAGGTACAAAATATCAGACATACCAATGCACATTATGTAGGCTTCCTCTCCAGATTGGCATGATATCAAGTTTAAGAAAAAAACCACAGTAATATATTAAATATACAGGGTATACTGGATTGAGTCACTAGTTGGTTTTATCATTTCTGACCCATTTTTGTAAGACCACATGGTGTCCTTTGGATCCAGAGATGGCATGGTTTAATCCACCATGGCTTGAACTTACGATTTTGGAGTTGTGAGAAGCTTATGCAATTCCCTTTGGCCTTTCTCACTCTTGGATTTGACACTTGATGCACAAGGCAGAGCGAAGTCAGAGATGTGCCAGTCTCCAGCGAAAGCAAGCCAACTGGGTGGACACGGGCACTCAGCCTCGGGAACTTTGTCTTCAACTGATTGTTTAATTGTATTTAATTTGCCGCAAATTAAAGCTGGCTGGTTTGTTGCTTCTGCTCCAATTTCCTAACCCTCTGTGGTCATTGCTAACTTTCTTAATGGAATTGGTTGATCTGGGCTCCAGGCTGGGGAAGACAGAAATACAACTAGATAAAAATCTCTTGGGAATTATGTGGGGACAAATGGTTTGTGTTGGGTCTCTGAAGGAACTGAAGGTCTTCCCAAGGTCAGTGTCAGGTGTTACGTATTGTGTTAGCCCCAGCGGTTGTGAACTCTGTCAAGCACATTTTTCTGTGTGTTGTGCTTTAGTTTGCTGCCACGGATTTGGTACTTTCTGGGACAATTTAGCTACTCTTGTGGATTTGATACCCTCAACTTATGTCTTCTATCTAGTTGTCATTCACTGACAGTATTGTCAATTGCGTTTTCCTTTGTCTTCAATGGCTTTATGCGCTCCTCATGTGGACAAAAAGCCACTCCATTTCCTCTGCATTACTCCTGGGAGAGTTTATCATGGAACCCACCTGGGTCACCAGTTTGACACCTGCATGCATTTGGTTTTGCTGTCTTTATTCTAGTCCTCAGAGCCTATTTGTCTCAGAGCAGGAACCCTGGCTTCACATTTGCTAACTGCAATGTTGGACAAGTTACTTAACCTCCCTAGGCCTCAATTTTATCGTCTCTGGGCATAAGAATAGTATATAACTCTTAATGGTTGATTTGAGAGTCAATGTGGTAATCTATACAAAGTGCTTAACATGGTATCTAGAACATAGTAAGATTTCTTTGAAAGTTGGCTGTTATTAATGAATACTATTCCAATTAACCACTCTCTCCTTTGAAGATGGCATTCAGCAAAGTTTGAAAAAGAAACTATTTCAAGAATCAGCCTAAAATGTGAATGAGGCCTGTGGAACCATTGGTTATGAAAGCATGATTGTGTTGTAATAACTAACAGAGTATGTGGCTTTGACATTAGACTGACATGATTTGAGTCTGTCTCTGATATTATGGGGACCATCAGCAAATTGTTTAACTTCTTTCTGACTCAGTTTTATCATTCAAAAGCTGGACTTAATAATAGTAGCTACTTTTTAATAATGTGGTGAAGAGCAAATGAGTTAATATATGTGAAATGTGCCTGTATTGAGCTTGGAATATATTGTATATTCAATAGATGTTACCCACTACCGAAAACAATGCATCAGAGTGTTCCACCTGCTAAGTGTTTGCTTCTGGAGAGAGGAACATGACAGAGTCTTTCAAATTGGATTGTCATGCGAAATCTGGGACATTCGAGAGCCAAAACGCTCACCTACAGTTCCTGCTCCTTGATTCCCTGCAGCCTGCCTTCTGACCCCACCTTCCCCCCACCCCCACCCTCCACTTGCACTTGCAGAAGCCAATCACAGGCACTGGCCTCTGTCCCTTATCTTCTAGAGGGCCCATGCATCTTAGAGGTCAATTCTTAGAAGAGGAAGCTGAGCCTTGAGGATTTGCAACAGCTAATTTGTGACAGACTAAGAGTTATCCCTGACTTGACCGGCTCGTTTATTTACAAATGGCCGTGGGTTTGTATCTATTTTGACACGCAACATAAGGGGCTTGAAATCCAACCTATGTGGTTGGTGTAAGGACTTCCCTCTCTTCTCTTTCATCTTGCTCTCTCTGTCCTACAAATCTGGCTTATGGTCCGGTTAGTGTTTTAGAAAAGCTACTCTGTTTTCCCCAGAGGGCTCGAGGCCCCGTGACCCGTCATAGCACGAAGGCCTCGCTTGCTGATGGGTGATGTTTTCCTTGCCCTGCAGCTTGCCTCTTTGGGGCTGGGTTCCGATTTCCCCGCTGGCTCTTGTGTTTCCTTGGGCTGGCTGCCTTGTCTGGCGGCTTTTAGCAAAGGGCCCTGAGAGATGCCAGGAGGCGAGGGGAAGGGCTCCGAATGGACTCCATCATTGGACAAGCGACCATCTGATGGATGAGCCTTCTCCCCAGGGAGTTTTGGGTCAGGAGAAGTCCAGCTGATACGTTTTTCCAGAACTGAGTAACCCAGAAACACTGCCAGCAGGATCTTACCTCTTGTGTGGCTTCGGGTATTGATTTTAAAGGCAATTCTCAGTTGCAGCTCCACCTCCTGCTAGGTGCACTGCTGTATCCGTGATAGACTTAGATACATGAGGCATGAATTGCTGTAGAAATGACATTTGAGAAAGAGGGGTGGGAGGAAGGAAGAAAGGGTCTTAAAAAAAATCCCTGTCAAAATATTTTCTTTCTTCTAAGTATCGAAAAGGCACAATGTAACCCTTCTTCTTCCAAGTGATCTCATATAGCTATTTATTTAGGGGAAATACCAAACGTGTATTATTATTATTTTTGAAGAAGAAGCAGCTTCTTTGGCCCTGATGATTCATGTCGATACCATTTTCCTCCCGAGCACAGAGGCTGCAAGACAAAGCTACACCCCGAGTGACATGCCGGTGTCAGAACAGTTCCTGTCCTGAAGGAGGCTGGGCGACCTTCCTCGCTCCCTCTTCACACACGGCCTTGAGCCCCTGAGACGGATGTGAGCGGGTTTCTCAGTCCTCATGCAAAACAACCATCTAAACATAACAGATGACATCAGCTTGGGCTTTTCAATTCCTGGATGGCAGCAGCGTGTTAATCCAGCCTTCATCCTGGATTTCATAAACTAAAACAAGAGAGCCTGGCAGGAGGACAGCGCGCTGCCGCTGGGTTGAGGAAATTGATGACGGGGAAGCATGCGGGCAACCCAGTGTATAAAACTCATCAACGTGTAGGCAGAGAGGCGCAGCTACCACTTTGGACGGCTGCTTCCCGCCAGCCAAGACTGCGTCGCGGGGAGCCGAGCCGGAGCCAAGCGGGGAACATGAAGAGCTTCTTGCTGCTGACCACGCTCCTGGTCCCTGCGCACCTGGCCACGGCCTGGAGCGTCAAGTACGCGGTGGATTGCCCGGAACGTTGTGACAGTAGCGAGTGCAGGAGCAGCCTGCGCTGCAAGAGGACAGTACTGGACGACTGTGGCTGCTGCAGAGTGTGTGCCGCGGGGCTGGGAGAGACCTGCTACCGCACCGTCGCGGCCATGGACGGTGTGAAGTGTGGCCCGGGGCTCAGGTGTCAGTTTTACAGTGAGGAGGATGATTTTGGCGACGAGTTTGGTATATGCAAAGGTAAAGAGCCACCCCCTTGTTTCCCCTCCAGGGTCCAGGGTTCACTGAGGGGGCTGTTAGCCAGCCTTGGGGTCTGGGGAGACTCGGCAGCTCACTCGCTATGTTAAAGGAGATTTTACGAAAGAGAGTTGCCATGGAAGATGGTGTCACCCTCTTTTCTGGAAAACTTTAGAAACACAGCAGGTAATCTGTTGGGAATGGTTTAGACGCCCTGGCCGCTGCGGTCAGGCAGAGATTACAGAGGTCTCTGTGAGATAACCTCCCAGAGTGGTTCCAGCCCCGGATTTAGTGATTCTTTGATCTGGAAAGGGTCCAAGGCCGGTGGGCCTCTCTCAAGATTAAATAGTTCTGATGAATGCTAATGCCCTTGGTGGACCAGGGCGGGTTAAGTCCTTTAACAAAATAACTCACATGCTTAAAAGAGTGACCCTCAAATATAAAACAAACTTCATTCTGCTTTAGAAAGGTTTTGGTGACTTAGAAAGATAGCAAAGGGTGTAAGACAAGCAAAAATAACAGTAAAGAAAAAAAGTAAAAATTGAAAGTCTGTAGCGAAGGAGATTAGCTGCCTTGGAGACCTAGAGAAAAGCTTCATTAGGTTGCAATTATAGTTCAATAACGTGTTCCTAGTTAAGCATTCATAGATTTCAGTTTAAACTTAGTGATTCTAGTTTAAACATGTTTAGAATCTGAAGAATGGTATTTTAAAACACTGTCTATAGAGACCTGATGAAATCATTAGTAAGAGCTATTAGTAAGAGGCACACATGCTATTAACTCATTCATCAATTGTCCAGGAGTGGACAATTTCTAAAATCCTTGTATTTTATGTACCTAATATAATTGTATTCTTTTTATTGATAATACCCTGTATAAGCTTATTTAATTACTTGTCCTACCTGTTAGACAAATAATGTGCAAATTCATCATCTTTTGGTCTGCAAATTGTATAAAATGTTAGAAAAGAAATTCTTGAACAGTGAAGAAAATTTTATTTTTGTTTATTTTTGCTTATAAGGAACAAGAGGTAGATATTGGGGGAATACTTTCTTTGGTTGAACGCATAAACATATATTTCTTTCAACTGAAAAGGATCTGTATTTTCTGCAAATTACAGGGCTTGTCAGCCAAGAAAATAGGAAATTAGGGAGGAAGTGGTTAACACAGTCATACTCAGGAGGTAGAAAGTATATGCCATGGATTGCTTGTTCTCTTGGCATAGAAATGCCTTTGTACATGTGAGTGTAAATGTGCAATTTTATGTGGATAAAGAAATAAGGGGGAAAGTAGCTGGACTCTTTAGCACTCTAGTTAGCTATGAATGATGAACTAGCATGAATGATTGAGGTAGATGTCAATGACACATATTTTTAAAAGGATATTTAGATTGCACTTTTTGGCATGTTTCAGATGGCTCATGCATCTAGTTTTGAACATTTTTCTCTCTGCTTGGAATAATGAGACTGTGTGAGCCTTAGCACCTCTAGGTAGAGAGATTCTATGTTGCTATAAACAAATATCCAGATGTTTTCTAAATATTCAGATGTTTACCATTGTGTTGCCCAGATAACAATCAGCCGGCCATGATGCAGTTATTAGACACTTGCTATATACCTAGTATTGTTCAGTACATCAGGGGATACAATAGGAGCCTGACAGAATTTGGCTAAAGCTGTAGTTTTCCCAATCCTGTATGCTTTTCTGCTAGAGGCTATTTCAGGATCTCTCCTTCCCAGCAGAGAGCACGGGTCACTCTGTAATCTGAAGGGTGCTGAAAAGAGAAAATGCTAAGTCTCTTTTAAATCTAATATCTATCTTGTTCATTCAACTGAATATTAGATTGCTGAAGACTTGGATGCCTCACAACTCGTTCCTTTACCCATATGCGATGTTACATTTACAAGGATATTTTCCGTGCCAAGAGAATAAATATTCTATATCTGTTCTGCCGGCTTTTAAAACCTGATTAATTTATTGAGGTACTGATTCCATCATAAAACCCATGATTTTAAATAAGCGATCTTATCCTTTTTATCTTAGAGTGGTATGTTTTATTCTAAGCATAAAAATGAAGAAGTTTTAAAAGCATCCAGTTCTTGGTAGGCATACAATCCTCAGGGTGTATAAACTCCAGCTTGCGTGTTCAGTTGCAGAAGGCTTTGCTAGTAAGCTGGGGACTTAGGTAGCTGTACTGCCTTTTGCAGATAGGGAACTTGATGTGGGTTGGAGCAGACTGAGGAGTGATTTCTTCGTGGTGAACTTGGGTGCCAACTCTCTTAGCCCTGGTTAACTTGAAGCTGTTTCCTGTACATTTAAAATAGCAAATTGTCATGAGTAGAGTGGATTAAAAAAACAGCATCACATTTTAAAAACTCTTTGAGAAGCTGATGCACATGTCTGTCTAATTTCCCACTATCCCTGGGCTGATAACAGAGGTAGCTTGTGAGAACCTGTCTATTGGTATCTAAGCAGCAAACAAACAGGATTAAAAATGGTCCAAGGAGATTGGTTTTGTGTGGCTTTGACTAGGCTTAACACCATGCCACTAAGTTTGAGGCATCCATTATGTGCTGTTAATGTGTGACCACACATTTGTGATGAGAAGTGCTAACTTTCAAAGCCTGGGTCTTTGAGCATAAGTTTTCATTTTGTAGTCAAAATTCTTGAGGTTGGTTCAAAGCCTGAAGCTATGCACATAGGGGCTCCTAGTTTGGAGGTTTATGCATACGAATGCGCTCCTTCTCCCAATCCTTCTCTACCCTCAGACTGCCCCTACGGCACCTTCGGGATGGAATGCAAGCAGACCTGCAATTGCCAGTCAGGCATATGTGACAGGGTGACCGGCAGATGCCTGAAATTTCCCTTCTTCCAGTATTCAGTAGTCAAGTCTTCCAACAGGAGATTCCTTCCTCATTCAGGTAAGAATTAATTATGTTACAAATATTGCAACGGTAGTCTCATTGTCAAGTCATGACTTAAAAAGTGTCTCTGAGTAGAATACGGTGTCGATGGAATGCTTTTCTTCCCTTTATCTCACTCAAGAAAGGTGAGTGGTAGTTGAGTTTGATGGCTGCTGCTGTTTCCTGAAAAGATCCCATTAACAATCTGGAGAATTATCTATCACAATTTCTCATAAGGTTTTCCCAGTTTTTACAGGATAAACATGATTGATTACAAAAAAAAAAACTGTAGTAAAAAATAACCAATGGAGATATATGAAGTTCTTTAAATTCTTCAGTGATCTGTTTTATATATTTACTAGACAAAACTATTTCTCTCCCAACTTCACATGCAGAAAGTACTGTGAGGAATTTATTGGATTAGGTTTAAGAGCCAAGATAGAAAATATAGAACATTTCTCTCTCTCTTTTTTTTAACTAATGGAAGAATTTAAATGGAATAATTCCAAGCATGTGTTTTTATGGATTTTGGAAAGAGTAAGAAATAATATCTGTGATTGAAATTTGGGAAATGGGTGAAATTGTGATAGTATTCACATATAGCTCATTACTCTCTGTTAGTTCTCACATAGGTTGTTAGAATGTGAGGAACACATGGCTGATAAGGTGGTGTTAGAACATATTCGGTTATCTTGTTGAATAAATGATCAGATAGCAACAGCCCCATTACAACAGGTATCCCTTATTCTTCCATTGCACAGACCTGTGACTCAGATAAATGATAGCCTATTATATACTTCAAATATGCAAGCAGAGTATATTTTAAATGTTCGCACAACACACACACACACACATACATCCAAGCATGTGAGTAGTTAGTTGGATTTAATCATTCCACAATGAAAGCTTAGATTAAATCATCACATTATACCCTGAATACACACAACTGTTATTTGTCAAGTAAAGATTAAGCAAACAAGAAAATGCAGGCAAAATAACCCAATATGTAGCCATAGCAACTGCTAGTATCAATTAATTATATATCCTCACCATAGAAACAGTTAATAATCCAAATCCATTTTATTTTGCTTTTGTTTCTGGCCCTATGCATGTCAAAGTAATTAGGATGTGAAATATCTGCAAATGTACTTATTCTTCCAGTTTTACTTCCTTCTTACATATGCCTGTTACTTGGTTTGTTCAGATGAAAGGAATATTGTGCTTTTAAGTGAATTATCAGTTTTATTATGGCCATGCTCTTAAACAATAATTTAAAAGGAAGCTTTTCATTTTTAAAATCTATGAAGTAAGGATTATTATGACTCTTTGATCTGGGAAATGAGACATTAACATTTTAAATGCTTATGACTTATTTGTCCTATCCAGTGAAAGACTGGATTTTAAAACCTGAATTTTTTTTTTTAATAAGATGCAATTCATGTAACATGAAGTGTAACATGAAGTTAACTATTCTAAGGTAAACAGTTCAGTGGCATTCACTGTATAAGCACCACCTCTATCTAGTTACAGAATATTTTCATCCCTGCCAATTATACTTCAGTACAGCTAAGCACTTACCCTCTTCCTCACATCGCCTTAGTTCCCAGCAACCACTGACTTTCTTTCTGGGCCTAGAAATTTTCTGAATGAGTAGGTTGCTTTGAGTTCAGATGTGAGGGCTGTTGTCTTGGTATACCTAGCCTCAACAACTTGCGGCTTCTTATGTCTTGTTTGACTTTTTTAAAACCACAGGCTAAAGAGAACTTGAGTTTGCACCGAAGCCTTTTCCCACCCAGGGAGAATCAAATCCTTTGTGCGTCCACGTTGGTGTTGTGGATGGAATGTTCAGGGAGGCCATGCAAGTGCCTTTGGAGCCCTCACTGCTCAGTGCGAGCAGGCGTGGTTGGGGCCTCGCTGGTGCCCCTCCTGAGTGCACACAGGCTGGTGACCTCTTAGCCTCTTCTCCGCAGGACCCTTGAGCAGTCTCTCTTCCTGGTGCCTACTAGGCTCTCTCATTTGCTTGTAGATTATGCTGGTATCTTGGCTAACATATAGGTGCCTGGGAAGCAGATGTACAAGGGTACTTTGAAAGGTACCTGAAAAAAAAAATGGAATTAAAAGATAAGTTGATTTGGGTGCCAAAACTTGTTTTGAAATCCATGCACAATTTTTCATAATATGCATTTTCCATGAATTCCTTGAAGGCCCTTGTATGCATGGATTTCACGGTTTTTTTTTTTTTTTTTGCACCCAATTCAACTTATCTTTTAATTACGATAAACTCAGCTTTTAATTCCATTTGCTATGAATCCTTTGAAGTTCCCTTGTATTGCCATAAGGCTGTTATGTGGTAGATTACATTAAAATATTTCTGTACCAAAATTAGGGACTGAGATTCTTACTAGAAATTCATGGAGAAAGCACTTCTTTCTCCTTTTCTTTTTCTTTCTTTTTAAAGATTTTTATTTATTTATTTGAAAGTCAGAGTTACACAGAGAGAGAAGGAGAGGCAGAGAAAGAGAGAGAGGTCTTCCATCTGATGGTTCACTCCCCAGATGGCCGCAACGGACAGAGCTGTGCCAATCCGAAGCCAGGAGCCAAGAGCTTCTTCCGGGTCTCCCACGTGGGTGCAGGGGCCCAAAGACTTGGGCCATCTTCCACTGCTTTCCCAGGCCATAGCAGAGAGCTGGATCAGAAGTGGAGTAGCTGGGTCTAGAACCAACACCCATACGGGATGTCAGGGCTTCAGGCCAGGGCATTAACCCGCTGTGCCACAGCACCGGCTCCTCTCCTCCTTTTCTTACCCAAGGTAATTCTTTTCAAAGGGTGATTATTGGTGCAATGTTGTCCAGGTTCAGCATGGACAGAAAGCACCCTAAAAACTGTGGAGAAGCTGTCCAGGCACCCCAGCCCTGCCCAGTTGTGTATCACCTCCATAAGATTTTCCACCTTTATGTGCTGGGGTTTACGGGATGGGGCTTGGACCCTCGTTCCTGCCGCAGGCTTCACACCACTTCTGCACAAATCTGCTTGGGCCCAGCTTTGAGAGAAGGTTAGCTGGCTCCAAGGTTCCCCAGCACAGGGACTTTAGAGATCCCTTCCACACCCTAATGGTGTGAGGATCCTTCTTCACTTTCCAACTCCTGTTGACTGCAACTCTCTTGGAAAGCGAGATTCTGATCTACTTTGTCCCATTTGTTATTTCCTTTTTTCTAGAGGGTAGTGAACTTCCCAAGACTGGGAATTCACAAATAAACTTTTTTTTTTTGTGGGGGGAGGGGGTGAGAAGTGAGAATGAGAACCTGGAATATTTTATGAATTTATGCACATTGGATTGCCAGGCAGTGCTAAGCTTAGAGTGTTGCCTCTCACGATGCCCACTGCTGAAACAAATGTATCTCACTACTGGTAGGAGCAGAGAATTTCATTTTACAAAATTCTAAACATGACAAACTTCTCCAGTATTTAGAGCAAGAACTATCTTTACAGAAGTTCTACCCTTTGGTCTGATTTCGGGTTTCTGGAGTCACACCAAAAAGTGAATCCCTCAGCTTTACCAGTTAGTATAAAAATCTCACTTAACAATTCATTCTGACAGCATTTGCTCCTTCCGTGAGTGCTTCTTAAGTGCCTACTGTGTTCCAGGCACTGTTGTAAGTGAGGGGATATAGCAGTGAACAAAACCATGTCCTGGCTTTCATGGAACTGGAGTTCCAGTGGTAGAGTGAGAAAAGACACACAAACAGAAAAACACAAAAGACAAATGCATGGCTGTCAGGGGGTCCATAGGTTTGTGAAAAGAAATAATTCAAGAAGGTATTATCTTAGAGAGAGAGAGGGCACATTGATTCAGAGCAGCGAAAAGGTTAGCCTAAGATCTTGAATCAAAGGTTTCATTTTAATTTCCTTTGTAAACTAAACAAAACTGTGCTTGCCCTTTGAATTAAAGACATGTGGACGTGATCTCATTGCAGAGCACGACGTGGCGTCTGGAGATGGCAATGCTATGAGAGAAGAAATTGTGAAAGAGAATGTGGCTCGGTCTCCTGTGATGAAATGGTTAAATCCTCGCTGATCCGGAGAGCAATTTCCGAGAGATGGCTCTACTTTAATGATTGTTCAACACACAGCCAACATGTTAGGAACCGTCTAGATTATAGCATATGGACATGCAATTTTTGGAGACCAAGTGTGAATCAGGGTGTACCCAGAAAAAAAAAAAAAGTAGGCTACTTGCAATCCCTTAAATGCATATGACTGAACACCCTTTAGATATTTGTTTGTGAAATATTTGTATGCCTATAGATTTGTTAAATGTGTGTGTAGAGTAACACTGAAGAACTGAAAATGCAATTTAGGTCATCTTACAAGGAGACTGTTCAGCCAAAGCTAGTCCAAACTGCAGACCACAATGGGACCATGGGTTCTTTGACTTGCTCTACATTCATGATGAGACACGATGGAGGAAGAATTAGGAGTAAAGAAAGGTAGGAGTAGGGCTGGGGAGGGTGTGCAAGTTTAGATCTTCCTTGTGGTAGTAGCTTCAATAGAATTTAATTGTGCTTTTTTAAAAAAGAAACTTTTGGAAAAGTCAAAACAAAACAACCAGAAAACCCCTGAAGAAGTAGGATTTGAAGCCTGTGGGAACTGGAGAATGGCCTTGAAGTGAGGTTGATTTCCAAGGGCTGCTAACGTGGTTCCCAGGTCATCTGTATCTGAAGGATGGTCGGGGGCAGAGGGCAAACAGAGGCTTCCATAAATGGTTGTACGGAATGCCACCTCTGAGTGAGACCCAGGAGGCACCCTTAATTCAATAGGCTGTTGTCTTAGTAGGCGGGGATATGTGTGAAGGTGAATATTTATGTTTTTATAAACTTTATAGTACAAGTCATCTTGCACACTTTTATGTATCACCCTCTGGGGGAAATGGACCTATTATTGTTCAACATGATTACAGTAAAGGCGTAACTCAATGAACTTTTCAGACATCTGAAACACAGTAAAGTTATTATTAATAATTATAGTAATATTAACAGTAACAAACAGAACCTTATAAGATGTCAAAAAAATGAGCAATGGGGGAATTTCTTTAAAAGCAAGTGCTGTGAATTAGATGAATTTTGAATTTAAAGTATAAAATAACTTTTTAGGAGGTTTGGAAAAAAAGTCAATTTTCAGCAGGAAACATGTCAGCTCTAAAATATAGTTTATTTTCATATTTTTTTCCTTCAAATTTGATTGATAAACAGAATTAGGAGTACGCCTGGGAGAAGCTTAGCACAAATGGGATGGTTGTACTAGATGTTGTGAGGAAATATTTGCAGAAGTATTATATTTGGAGTAAAGAAATTATTTAAGAATTATTTCACTATTTGCCTATATTTTATTCTTGACGTTTGCCAACAGAGTTGTGAATGTGTGCGTGGAAGGTCTTTGAATGTAAGCTGAATAAGCTGTTAGGTTTTGTTTTAAAAGGACAAGTTCATTACTGTTCAATAAAAAAAAAAAGACAGCTGCTTTGTGTCCATTTGTGGTTCTGTTGATTGCTTAAATCCTACTCATTCGATGAATAAGAATTCGTTACTGAATATTAAAGGTCTGGTTCTTCAACTGAATTTTCTGCTGCAGATAAGCTGCTCCTAGCCAAACAAGGGGCTAGGATAATTTTCTTTTCCTTACAACTTCAGTCTACTCTTCTGAGCTTCCTAGAAGGCAGACTCCCCGTATATTAGCCCAATACACAGGGTTTTTTTCTTTTTTTTTAAGCCTCTCTTTGCTTCAGCAACAACAAAAGGTAAATACTTCTTTTGGTCTTATTATAAATTAACTGTGGATCTAAGGCTTGAAATAACAGTTTCTAAGTCACTAAATAAATGGTTTTTTCACATAGCACTGAATTATTGAACTTGGAGCATATTTTATCCTTTGTTTTGTTTTCTCCTACTGGATTTAATTTATTTAAAGATGGAAACTTTGCCATTTAACAGCTACTCGGGGCTACTGTCCATCATTCTAGGTTCTGTGAGGAAACTCCAAATAATTACATCTCATTCAGTTGCTAGCTGATTGACTGAAGGTTACAGATGTAAAAATGTCAACTTGCTTTCACTCTCATCAGTTTAGGTAGCTCGTTCATATTCACACTTATAATTCATACAAGTAGTTTATTTTCACACTTGTTCATATTGTTTAAAATTGTTGTTCTTTAGAAAATATAGCCAGGGGCAGCGCTGTGGTGCAGCAGGTTAAAGCCCTGGCCTGAAGCGCCAGCATCCCATGTGGGCGCCGGTTCTAGTCCTGGCTGTTCCTATACCGATCCAGCTCTCTGCTTTGGCCTGGGAAAGCAGAAGATGGCCCAAGTCCTTGGGCTCCTGTACCTGGGAGACCTGGAAGAAGCTCCAGCTTTGGCTGTGTGGTCATCTGGGGAGTGAACCAGCGGATGGAAGACCTCTCTCTCTCTCTCTCTCTTTCTCTCTCTTTCTGTCCTCTCTCTGTGTAACTGACTTTCGAGTAAATAAATAAATCTAAAAAAAATTTCATCACCCCCCCCCCCCAAAAAAAAAAAGAAAAGAAAATATAGCCAAAGACAAACCTGTCAGTGCCACTATGGAAGAGAGTAACCTACAGCTTTGAAGCTCAAATGCATGTTATCCAAGAATGGCAACATGGCCACTTGGCCTTGGAGACAAATTATGGAAACATTTTAAGTGAATTGATAAAATGCTAAAAAAAAAAAAAAGAGCAATCTGTATAAGGAAAAACATCCTGTTTTTCTAGCTTAATCTTAAGCCCAAATGTCAGTTGAATGATAGCTGACCTGGGGGCAGGACCCGCCCCGTGCCTGCTCGGAGGTAACCACCTGTGTGACCATGGAAAATAAAATCTAACAGAGGTAGACCCATCTTCTCTGAGTTGCAGACGTATTTCCTAGCTTCCCAGCTTCATATTACTGAGGACCCCTCCTGAAAGTTAGTACCTGCCTATCACAAATTGTTCTGTAGTTTTCTCCCTCTATTCTTCATTGCGGAGGTCTCCAAAATCTTTGAATTTCGCACACCCCTTATTGCATACTTTTTGACTGCAATTTTTTGAGCATGTAATTTTGAACTGTATCTATTATGTTATAGTGTTAATACATTGTGTTCACTGTAAAACATACTGACAAACTGAAAAATTTTAAGCAGTTGATAAATATAAATAAAAGTTCTGAGATTTTCTTCCTGCACTCCAATGGACCATTCTGGGAAACACTGGAGATGCAAATGAAAATGCCACAGACCAGTTATCTCTGAAGAACCCCAAACTCATGATATTGGAGAGAAACAAAGCTGACGCACAAGGAATACTTCTGGAATGAATGGATGAATGGGTAGCTAGGTGGATAGAAGGATGGGTGGGAAGAGGGGTGGAGGGCAGTCGGACAAATGAGTGACAGAGGGAGAGCTGGGTGGAGAGATGAATGAATGGAGCAGTTCACAGGCTCCCATCTCCACTAAAGTAGCAGCTGCCCAGGAGGAAGACAGCCTTGCCTCCTTTCCCCTGCCAGCTCTCCCATAGCCGCCTATCTTGCCTGCTGGGGTGTGAGGTGATTGACAAAACGGAAGGCCTGCACTAGAGTCAGGGAATCTGTTGAGGGCAACAAAGACAGGGAGTGCTTCTCCCTCAGGCACTGGGGATAACATCAACCACACCGGGCTAGCAAAGAGGGTCAAGTGAGTCCTGTGGTAGCCAGAGGAAGCTGTCATTCACCCTGAGAGGCAATGGGGAGGATTGCTGGTTCCATCCCATATTTTCTTCCTTTCTTTTACCTGGATGTCTTGAGAAGTAAAGGAACCAGAGAAGCAATTGAGATCACATTTAGAGTCATCCTACTCATTAGACTAAGACCTGGCTTTAAAAGGGTGCATGGCGTACAGCAATGGTTTCAAATGTTAGCGTGCATCACAATCACCCAGCAGCCTAGCTAAAACATAAATTGCTGCGATTCAGTAGGTGTGAAGTAGGACCTAAGAATATCCCATTTTAACAAGTTCCCAGGTGATGTGGATGCTGCTGGTCCAGACACCATACTTTGGGAATCATTGAGATGTGGAAACCTGGGTTTGCTCAGACGGGAGACAAGCTAAGGGGTGATCAAAACCAACCATGGTTGCCTTTTGAAAAGGGCATTGCAATATTGCTTAACCCATTGGTGCCTTTAGCTTTTTCTTTGAATGTTCTCAACTACTTCAACAGCTGAGAGGGTTGCAAAGTGTCAGAGACATTTTAAGAGAAACTGGAGGCTTTGCAGGGACAGGTAGATGGAAGGTGGAAGAACCAGAGACTTGGGGAGTAATCAAGTAATGTGTTCTCATAGAAAGAACAGCATTGCGAGTAACCAGGGGTGTCTTGTGTGGTAGAGAGATAAGGCAGACTGAAGAGTTCTTAGGCAGTCCATGGTGGCCACAGTTAAAGCATTGTCCATGCAGAGCTGGGGGTGGAAGCCTGATTGAAAGGTCAGAAAACCGCAGGTGAGCATTTACCCAGAGGGTGGCCAGGGAAGCACAGAACGGCAGTCACGTGCTACCAAGAGAGCATTTGTTTCTTTTTGTCCCCTACTACCCTAACAATAGAGAGTGACCCTGTAAGATCAGAAATACAAGTAGGAAATACAGATACAGACTTCATGTAATGATGGTCTAGCTTGATTTGCTTACATGAATCTGGTTTATAAAATTGTGTTTATACAGATTTTTGAGACTTAGTTCTTCAATGTAGACATATCTATACACTTTTCAGCTCCCTAGAGAGTATAGGAGTGCAAGGAAATCTGACTCATTTGGGTTGAGAAGAAAGGCCCACAGAATTCTGGTCTAAATCTTTTATTTCACTGATAAAACACCTGGACCCACGTAAAGTCAAAGGTAAGATCTTGTGTATAGTGATGAACGCTCTACTACTTGCCATTGTAGCACTTTCGCCATTTGATTTTTAAAAATTAAAACATTAAAATCCTTCATTACCTACTCCATATTTAAAATATATATACCGTGTGTACGTATGTGTGTGTGTGTGTGTGTGTATGGGCTTGAAAAAATACGTTCTTTCATGCAGAAATTCTACTTTTTTGAATTTATTCTGTGTAAATATTTTAAAAGTGTAAAAATGTATATACAACAAATATTGCAATATTTTTATAGTATCGGAAAATTAATAACCTGGAAAAGTTGTTGATACTGTACTATTCAATGAAATGACAGAATAACCAAGATTTACATATGTTGTAGGCATAGAAAATGAGGAGCTACAGATATCACATAGTGATTGATGTAGATATGTTCATTCCACAGCAGAGAGAGAGGCAGTGTATTCAGATCTGGCAGTTACTGCTGGATAGAGTACACATCATCTTTCTTCCTTAAACCGCAACAAAAAATATAGACTCTTAGATTTTCATGACTCTCAGTACCCCAATTTGAGTGCATCTGTTATTTATTTAAAAGTGATAGGTTTATCAGATTTGCTTAAAGCATTCACCTTCATTTTCATAGAGACAGCAATCCTCTACCTTGCTGATCTACATATTTAAGTACTTTATGTAACAATGAAAATTAGCATAGAAGGTTTGGGAACAAATGCAGCAGGCTCTTGAAATGTTTCCTTTTTGTTTTATTTGAGAGATTTGAGAGGTACACACACACACAGACACACACACGAGAGAGAGAGAGAGAGAGAGAGAGAGAGAGAGAACTCATCCACCGGTTCACTAGGGCTGGGCCAGGGCCAAAGCCAAGAGCCTCTAACACAAGCCAAGTCTGCCAAGTGGGTGGCAGAAACCCAACTACTTGAATCATCTCCTACTGCCTTCCACAGTTTGTATTATCAGAGAATAGGAGCTAGGAGCTGAAATTGCGTGTTGTCTCTGATGTGAGACCCAGGTATCCCAACCAGAGTCCTAACCACTAAACTAAATGACCCCTTTCTTGGTAAGTTTTTAATATAGCTGGTGGCAATGCAAGTATCAGGTGCATCCCAGAGGGAGGGCTACCTGCCTGCATCCTTCAGCAAACTCCGTGGGTGTCAATTCTTGTGTTTTTTGGAGAGAAGATAGATGTGTGTTGATTTTTGATTAAGTGGAATTTGCTTAAGAGCACTTCTACTGTATATTAAGCAAGAAAAAAAAAGCATTTACAATGCCATATGGATAATGTTATTTTTGTGAAAAAGTATGTAAATGGATATAAATCAATATGTTATCACTGATGCATCTTTTATTCTTTTCTGTTTTTTAACTTTAAAAAATTTTTAATATATGGAAACTAGATTTCATGAATTTCATAGATTCCAAGAATACAACAACACTTTCTTTCCTTCCTGGCTCCCTCCCTCCTTCTCTCCTTCCTCTTTCCTCTCTTTCCTCTTTTTTCTTTTAACTTTTTGTAAGAACATACTTTCAAGCTACTTTATAATCAAAGGCTCGAGGCACTTCTAAATGAAGGTCTCAACAAGGAAAAGGGAGAGAGCCCCCTGTTCCCCGGGGGTACAGACAAGGATTATAGACAACAATCAAATCACAAGATGTCAGTCGATATACATTAACTTCCTTTTTTTTTTTTTTTTTGTATTCTGTGTATTAGCTAAAACCATTCAGAAAAAAGACATATTTGTCTTTTTGGGTCTGGCTTATTTCACTAAGCATAATGGTCTCCAGTTCTTCGTATTTTTAGTTGTTTTCTGAAACTTTATAACTGGGACAAAGAAAAAAGAAAGCTCTGTGTATTTTGAAAATCTAAATTGCAGTATGAAAGCAAATGTGTAGTTTACTACCTCAATGGTGACTTTAGAACACAAGCCTATGTTTCAATAGCTTTGAGATGTCCTTCATCACCTGGGCTTTTTGTCAGAAGTGGACATAGAAGTTGAAACCAAATGGATAGGATTGTAGTTTCCTTATAAATACTAGAAGAGCTACAAAGTGTCTCTGCATAGATTGCACATCTTTGGTACAAATATTTCATCCAACAGAAGCAAAGACTGTGATCCTCAGTACAGACCAAGGTGGCCGGGTCAAAGCGCACATTTTAAACTGCAATATACCTCTCTTACCTATGCATAGAAAACACGATCTGCTTCAACTCATGGTGCGGGCCACCCGGGTTTTTAAAGTATTTCCTGACACCTGTGAAGTTGGTAAATATTTCCTGTTTTTGTTGTGTCTGGAGAACACAGGAATGAACAAGTTGGAACTGATTATTAAATGCGAATGACCTCTGTATAAATACTTCTCAGTAAGTAGTTTGTATTTTCTTTTTTTTATTTTTTATTTTTATTTTTTGACAGGCAGAGTGGACAGTGAGAGAGAGACAAAGAGAAAGGTCTTCCTTTGCCGTTGGTTCACCCTCCAATGGTCACCGTGGCCGGCGCACTGCGGCCAGTGCACCGCGCTGATCCGATGGCAGGAGCCAGGTACTTCTCCTGGTCTCCCATGGGGTGCAGGGCCCAAGCACTTGGGCCATCCTCCACTGCACTCCCTGGCCACAGCAGAGAGCTGGCCTGGAAGAGGGGCAACCGGGACAGAATCCGTTGCCCCGACCGGGACTAGAACGCGGTGTGCCAGCACCGCAAGGCAGAGGATTAGCCTAGTGAGCCGCGGCGACGGCTTGTATTTTCTTAAAAATCTGTCACAACATACTTCTCTTGAGGCAGGAAAGTGATTATAAGAATCTGGCAGCCCACTCTGTGGGGGAAGACGCACCTTCTACC